GGACGGAAGCGCCGCTTTCCTCCCCGGGTCTCGGGCATCGCCCGCGTCCCCCACCGGGCGCCGGGAGGAAGGGGGTGTGTGTGTGTGTGAAGGTGGAAACTTTAAATAAAGTGCCCTGGAAATGCTCCCCGTTTGCACTCTCTCTGAGAGGAGGGCGCTTTCGCTTTCCCATCCGTGTGTCCAGGTGGCAGTCTCGTCTTTGGGAATCCACGTTGACGTTGAAAACAGCTCAAGCTTCCTGTCATTTGTTTACTTCAGCGCCCCAGGCACATCTGCGTGTGGCTCGAAGTATTTCTGGCCAGGGACCGACCGCGAGGGTTATCGTACGTGTTTTATTGGGATTTTTAAATAGACGCCAAGGGCAAAGTGCTAATGCCTGTTGAAAAGTCCCGAGTGAAGCAGGACGTGGGTGCATGTAAATCTCGGGTGTTTTTGTGCTTGGCCAGGATCGCAGTTTTCCATACGGTGGGGCGGATTCGTTTCATTAGCTGTTTGATGAGCTTACATCTAGGGATGATCACTATGAGCCATCTCCGAGAAAGTTAATTCTTTGCAACGTGGGCCTAGTTCATTATGCCGTTAAAGACTTCTGAAATCTTTCCTTCTGTTTTGACTGGCTAGCCCTTTGTATGCACCCGACTGCATATAGGAGATCCCCAGGCGATCTTCGATGATTTAAGGGTGGTATATTTTAGGTACCTTTTTTTTTTTTAAAGGAGTGGTGAATCAGATCCAGAAGATGGCTTTAGAAGCAGATTCTATGCTGCAAGCTGATGCACAGTATAAAAAATGGCTGAAATCAGGTGGGATTAAAATCTACGGTATTAAAGAAATCAACGGAGAATGAATCATTGGAAAATCCATTTCCCCAAATAGATGTTATTTATTTTTTCCCCTCACAACTTATATTTTAGGAAGCATTGGTATGAAAGGAACTATGTTCAAATGATTTCCGAGGGCGATTTGGATGTTATTTGTAGATATGACAGCTATTGTCTTATCCTGTTTCGAAAGGAATGTGATAATTAAGTCTCTGAAAGTGATAATCTTCCAAATTGCCGAGCTACACAGATTGTCAGGTCATAGTTCATTGTCAGAGTCCAGTGCTTCAGGAACGATGCGTTACTCTTTAGTAACCATTCATTCCCTCAAGTATATCAGGTATACATTTGGCACCTACTGAGTGCTAGAGGTTGTGCCGAGTGCTGGGAATACAGCAGTGATCAAAACAGTCCCTGCTTTCATAGTGTTTACATTCTCGTTGAGGTACACACAACATTCAAATGAACGTGTTCATAAATATGATATATGTTATAATCAGGTTAGGAAAAATAAGGCACGGAGATTTGCCAAGTCCGACATGAGTAAGTGGGATTCTGATCTCAAGAATGTCAGACTCCAAAGCTCTTCTACCTACTCTGGGCGTTAATTGCACGGGACGTGTGTATGTGGTTGGCAAATACAGAAACGCCAACCAGCGCCTGGCCAAATGAGATGGTTCCAGCAGTGATGTTAAAATTGTGTCTGTATTTATACTTGAATAAATTCTGACGTGCTTCCGAAGTAATGCTAAACATCTCAGAGTAATCTGCAATCTTATCCTTTAAAGAAAACTGTAACCCACCTTCTGAGAATTACAAAATTGACAAGAAGAACAAAGTTATTTACCTCTGTGCCTTTGTAGATTCTGTTTTGCTAGGCATTGAACACATTCCCCACACTTGTCTGTGGAGTTCATACCTGTCTGTCAAGCAGGTAGCCTTGCTTTTATAATCTTACCCTGTCCAACCCCAGCCTCTGTCCCCTCATGTAACTTCGCTGCATTTTTGAAACATAATAGCACTTATCTCATGTACTGGCTAGTATATTTTTCTCTTATCTGCTTTTTAGATTGTGCAGGCCTTAAGGGGAAAGACTATCATTTATATCTGTCTTTTGGTGGAGCACTAACTTCTGCGTACAAGAAAACGGTTTCCCAGAGTCCTCCATTTCTCCTGCCAGTCAGTATCTGGGGGAAGTGAGTTTGGTTAAGCATGGACGAGATGGGGGGCGTGTGTGGAGCCGTGAGGAGGGGCTGCACCTCAAGAGAATGATAGTTCTCAGAGAATCAGCAGCTGTGAAAATATTTATGATGAATTGAAATTTTATTCTATAAAAACATTTACATAATTTTCGTTGTTGTTGACATAAGGTACTTGAGCTAATTGGCAATACTTTCATTAGGCTAAGTAACTGTTAACAGTAAATCTTCAGAGATGTCTTATTCTGGATGTATTCACTGTTCTGCTTAGCAGTGAAAATTAGTAAAGTTTTTTTTCCTTAAGTTAGCCTGATGCAAATGAGGGATTATGTTTAGATTGCAGTGAATAAATTTGCGAAGGTATCTCTAGAAATGTCTCATTATTTGTCCATGAAAAAGTACATTTTCAGTATCACATGGTGTTTGTTTTGCCCTTCAGACCGGGGCCTGGCACAGAGAAGCTACCTAATATTTAATATTATACTTAATTATTGCGAAATAATGGGAAAAGTGACCGAAACATAGGGAGAGGCCTGTGTTTTGAAACTGAGGTGGAAGTTATCGAGCAGTTTCCGGGGGCCTACGTCTGGAGAGTGCCAGTGTGGGTCACGGCTGTCACGGGGAGGCAGGTGTGCAGGTTATAGTCTCTGTGAGGGTCTTAGACGTCATGGGTGGGGAGGGGGTTGGACAAAGGGGACTCCGTTGCGGGGGAAGGTGGCAGATCACTGTGGTAGATCACGACCTGGCTGCTTGCCCGTCCCCAGTCACAGGGGTGAGAGAGAGAACGTACTATCAGTGAGGCCAAGGCCACAAGTTAGGCCACAAGTCAGTGGGTCTGACAAGTTTACCCCGAACAAGCCTGTACCTAGCACAGCACCCTGCGCGTGGCGAACTTGGAACTGCTTAAGAAGAAAAGTGACAGGTCAAGCTGGCTGTTTGTTTGTTCCTGGGTCTCACCAGTCGCTCAGTTAGGGTGAGGTGTGTGTGTGGCCAGGGCCCCCCAGAGAGTAGGAAGAGGGAGGAAGCACCTCGGCTTGACAGCCTCCTCTCCCATAGTCAGGACATTACATGAAATAATACAATCCCTTGTTCTGTCACAAGAAAGGAGGCGGATGACATGATATTTTACTAGTAAAATATTTAATTAATTTTTATTAATCTTTTATTAGTAAAATAGTGCTGCAGCGATAGGAATATTCAAAGTGAGTTGCTATTACGAATTTTTGCTGTTTTTACTGTAAATGTTAATTTAAGAAGGATGAAAACTTCAAAAATAAGGGAGTCTTCTATCATACAATCGTTGGTTAAATGCTGATAAGGAAGATTTAGCATGTCTTTGAGGAGGCTTTGTGGAGAGAATGTGGAGCAGAAGTGTGATCAGAGTTTCATTTAAGCCTGCTGATCTTTCGAATTTGGTTAAAATACATTTTGGACAATAAAAACCATATACTGTTATTATAGAAAGTTCGGATAATATTATATAAGAAAGATATTGGAAACTTAAGGAAGAAAATAATATTACCTCCCAGAGCATCGTTTTTTCTTTTTAAAAAAACTTAATCGAGCTTATGTCCCAGATAA